TGAGATGAACCCTCATGCTCTTTGCCTATCCAAGTACCTTTGTAGATATAGAAAAAACTAAATGGAAATTATTTGAAACGGCTTTAGTTCCTGCTATAATAACATGCTTTACATGACCAGAAATAACCACAGCTCGTTGTTACTATTAAATACCACGCACTTCATTTAATGGCAGCGGTGATGAGGCCCCATTGACTTAAGGTACGCCTCATTAAACACTGCCAGCTCTTTTCACTTAAGGCAATCCTCGGGCAACCATCGAAAGACATACACTTACACATATACTTATAGCACTGTCTGTCTGAATACTTGATTCTGACTGACTGGAATCCTTGAATGTACAGGTAGTTCCAGTCAGTGAACACACAGAAACATGAAGCATCACTACATCTTGTAGAAGGTGATGAGATGAGGTGAGAGACAAGTGCAGATCAACAAAATTAGTGCTAATGAACTGCTAAATTCCAGGTTATTATAGCGCTGCATGTGTTTTTCAACACAGTAGCTGGTTTCTCTAAGCAAGATATTAGTTAGTCCAAGCTGGTCAAGAAAATATCAGCTACCAACTTATAGTTTGACAGTTTCTGCAGTTTTTCCATTCACAAGATGTTAACTGATGGACTGGAGTAATGTTAATTACTTGTGTATTATTTTGATGTTTTTAGTTGTTTGGACTCTCTGGACTCTTCTGATGGCACCCATTCACTGCAGATTTGCTCATTGGTGAACAAATCATGTAATGCTAAATTTGTTCTGATGAAAAACAACCTAATCTACATCTTGGAAGGCCTTTGGATGAGTACATTTTCAGCAAATTTTTATTTTGTTGAGGTGAACAATGTTTGTTGGTCCACTGGCTAATGACAAGCATGGACCAGTTAATGACCTGTTTAGAGCAGCTAAGATACCAGGATACTGTGTTCCAAAATACAAGTTTAAGTGTATTTGGTAGTTTAAATCCATTTCAAGTCCTATCCTAACAGCAAAATGAACAAAATCATATAATCTAACACTGTTTACAACAAGACCATGCCTTTAAGTAGACATTCATTAAATGGAACAACCAAATTTCCAAAAGTAATCACTTTTGTAACCACAATGCTACAAGTGCAAACACTCATGAGGAGCGGTCAAATAAGAGTCAGACATCAATCAGAGCAGCATGAATAAGCAAGACTATGATCATTCTTTACAAAGCATATCCGTTTGCTATTCTGAGCTGAGAACCAGCAATAAAAATGATCATAAACAAAGAAAACCTTCACCGTACAGCTGGAAATATTTTTTCCCCTTTGACAGCTATGAATATTGGCTCGACTAGCCAGAGATAATACAATGCAAACACAGGGAAGGATCTAATCTGGTGGGCTATTGTCACGCAAATATCATTTTCATAGTGAGCCAGATGTACACGTAAACATAAGGTGCTTTTTCACAGCCCACCTACACAACATAGCCCACCAGCAGGAGGAGTGCAAACTGGTCGCTTACCAAGTACTCCTGGCATAAAAACAGGGTGACCAGTGGAATATTCTAATAATACATGAAGGGTTTTATATAAGGATTAATTCCCACGATGCCTTGGGGATTTGATGCATACAATTAAAATATTACCAAAAAGGGCCTCAGAGACTTGTTAACATGCTTGGACTTCACACCTGCCTACTGAGATCTATGGCAGGCTCAAAACCCTCTAACAATGAACTCACATTTTCCTAGCTATAAGACTGGAACGGGCTGGACATGTAGGATTTACTCAGTGGCTTTCAATCCTGGTCCTGGGGACCCACTGCTCTGCACATTTTGTATGTCTCTCTTATCTGACACACTCAGTTTAGATCAGGGGTGCCCAAACTCGGTCCTGGAGGGCCAGTGTCCTGCAGAGTTTAGCTCCAATTTGCCTCAACACACCTGCCT